AAAAAATGGAATTAAAAGATGAAAATTTAACCTTTTTTATCCACATTATACCCATCAAGTTCAAGATAATTTTGTAATCAATAATACCAGCTACTGGGGCCAGCACTGTGGCATAATGGGTAAAGCTGCCACCTCTGATGCTGATATCCTTTATGGGCACCAGAGTCCCAGATGCTTCACTTCTGATCCAGCTCTCTGCTAATGGTCTGGGAAAAGCAATTCAAGATCACCTAAGTGCTTGGACTATTGCTACCCACATGAGAGGAGGAAGCACCTGGCTCCTGCCTGGCTCAGACCCAGCTGTTGTGGCCTTAGGGAGTGAATGAGTGGATAGAAGATCTCTGTCTCTCCCATTCTCTTTGTAACTCTTTCAAATAAATAAATCTTGTTTTATAAAAAATAATGCCAGCTATTTAGTCCATCCCTAAAGAACTGACTGAGGGTCCTGGGGATTTAACTATACCCATGCAGTCTTTTTTCCATTATTTATGGATAAAAATGGGCATACTTCAGTGTGGGGAGCAACTCGGACTAGACTAAGTTACTCGAATTAAGACTTATTCTATGCATCTGCTCTCCCAAAATATGGCGCTGGGAGAGGAGTAAACAGCTTCTACACAGCTGCCTCCAGTTCGACCAATAAACTGCAGGAGCTGCTCCTGATTGGAGGAGAGCAGCGTGCTTGGCGTGTGGGCAGCAGAGTTGGGATTGGTGGAAGAGGACTATAAAGGAGGAGAGAGACAACATGCACCAGGAACACCTGAGCAGCCCCCGAGAGAGCTGGCTGGCAGTGTGCCGCTCCCCTGTGGAAGTGGGGAAAGTGGCAGGGGGGAGCCGCCCCTCCACGGAGGTGGAGGGAGCGGCAGCCAACCCGGAAAGGACCAGCAGCAAACCTGGGAAGGCCGAGCAGACAAAAGAACAGCGCAGGGTCCTGTGTCATTCCTCCGCGAATGGGGGAGCGACACTTCAGAATTTTTTCGAGATAAGGAATCAAAAGGTCAGAAGGAGCCAGTTAAGGACTATAAAGAGGAAACCTGGGGCCAGCGCTGTGGTGCAGTAGGTTAAGCCTCCGCCTGTGGTGCAGCATCCATGTGGGCAGCAGTTCCAGTCCTGGCTGCTGCACTTCTGATCCAACTCTCTGGTATGGCCTGGCAAAGCAGTGGAAGATGGCCCAAATGCCTGGGTCCCTGCACCCATGTGGGAGATCCACATGAAGTATATGGCTTCAGATAGGCCCAGCTCCAATGCTGTGGCCATTTGTGGAGTGAATCAGTGGACGGAAGACCTGTCTCTAACTTTGCCTCTCAAATGAATAAATCTTTAAAAAAAAATAGAAAAAACAGAGGATAACCAATGTTTTTCTCACCAAAATGTACAAAAATAGCTCTTGTTTGATGACAGGATACGAGGAGCTTTGTTCTTGAAGCAATAGGCAGATTAAGCTGGGGAAGAAAGGAAAATTCTAGAGTCACAAAAATTTAAAAATCTGCTTTCTTCTTTGACTGTTTGAGAAGCTGCTTACCTAAAGGAGTGCTTAAAATTATGGTCCAACAAAGAGAACATCTAGGTTACATCTAAGAAACATCTGTTCCCAAGAGTTACAAAAGTTAAAAATTACATGTTTTTTACATGCTGTACCTGCCTCTTTTAATTCTCTCCAGGAGCCGTTCTTGACAATAAAGCTCCTAATGGGTTCTTCTATTATAATTATCTATGCTCGGGCTGAATTGTTTCTTCTTTTTTTAAAGATTTATTTATTTGAAAGCCAGAGTTACAGAGAGGAGAGGCAGAGAGAGAGAGGTCTTCTATCCGCGGGTTCACTCCCCAGATGGCTGCAACGGCAAGAGCCGTGCTGATCCGAGGCTAGGAGCCAGGAGCTTCTTCTGGGTCTCCCACTTGGGTGCAAGGGCCGAAGGCCTTGGGCCATCTTCTACTGTTTTCCCAGGACACAGCAGAAACTGCATCGGAAGTGGAGCAGCTGGGTCTCCAACCACTGCCCATGTGGAATGCTGGCACTGCAGGCGGTGGCTTTACCTGCTAAGCCACAGCGCCAGCCCCCTGGCTAAATGGTTTTATAATCTGTGTAAGGGCACTCTATCGTCACTATCTGGCAGTCTGTAAGATATGTTCTATCCAACTTAAGGGGCACACCACTTGCAATTGATTTTGTTCCAGTTTTGCTTCTACTAATCAATAAACATGTTTCAGAACTCAACAACTTCTAATAACTTACTATACAGGGAACACAGCCATTGGTGACTGAAAATTCTCCAGCTTACAAAGCTAATTCATTAGCTGAGATAGACCAGAGACTCCCAGACCCAGCCGTTGTGGCCATTTGACGAGTGAACCAGTGGATGGAGGCCTTCTCTCCCTCTCTATAATTGTACCTTCCAAATCTATCTTTTAAAAAAAAATTGTTTATTTACTTGAAAGTGAGTTACACAGAGAGAGAAGAGGCTGAGAGAGAGAAGAGACGGGGAGAAGGCGGCGGGTGTGTGTGTGTGTGTGTCTTCCATCCACTGGTTCACTCCCTAGGTGGCCCCAACGGCCAGAGCTGTGCCAATCCGAATCCAGGAGCTTCCTCCAGGTCTCCCACATGGGTGCAGGGACCCAAGGACTTGGGCCATCTTCTACTACTTTTCCAGGCCATAGCAGAGAGCTGGATTAGAAGTGGAGCAGCCAGGTCTTGAACCGGTGACCATATGGGATGCCAGTGCTTCAGGCCAGGACATTAACCCACTGTGCCACAGCACCGGCCCCTCAAATCAACCTTAAAAAAATGGCGGCCGGCGCCGTGGCTCACTAGGCTAATCCTCCGCCTAGCGGCGCCGGCACACCGGGTTCTAGTCCCGGTCGGGGCGCCGGATTCTGTCCCGGTTGCCCCTCTTCCAGGCCAGCCCTCTGCTGTGGCCAGGGAGTGCAGTGGAGGATGGCCCAGGTGCTTGGGCCCTGCACCCCATGGGAGACCAGGAAAAGCACCTGGCTCCTGGCTCCTGCCATCGGATCAGCGCGGTGCGCCGGCCGCAGCGCGCCGGCCGCGGCGGCCATTGGAGGGTGAACCAACGGCAGAAAGGAAGACCTTTCTCTCTGTCTCTCTCTCTCACTGTCCACTCTGCCTGTCAAGAAAAAAAAAATGGCTGGCCGGTGCTGCAGCTCAATTGGCTAATCCTCTGCCTGCAGCGCCGGCACCCCCAGGTTCTAGTCCTGGTTGGGGTGCCAGATTCTGTCCCGGTTACTCCTCTTCCAGTTCAGCTCTCTGCTGTGGCCCGGGAGTGCAGTGGAGGATGGCCCAAGTGTTTGAGCCCTGCACCCGCATGGGAGACCAGGAGGAAGCACCTGGCTCCTGGCTTCGAATCGGCGCAGCACACCAGCTGCAGTGCGCCAGCTATAGTGGCCATTTGGGGGGTGAACCAACGGAAAAGGAAGACCTTTCTCTCTGTCTCTCTCTCACTGTCTAACTTGCCTGTAATGAATGAATGAATGAAAGAAAGAAAATTGCTAATCTGTAACCTTGCCTTTCAAATCAATCAATCTTTAAAAAAATTGCCAACTCAGCTTAAACTTTGGGAAACACTGGCTAAAACAAGTTTTTCAAATATCAGTATGTCACAAAGGTCAAAACAGGAACACTCATCAACTGAAAACAAGGGAACTGCTAACTCAGTTCCCTAGATTGTCATCAAAAAGGGAACTGGACAGCACCAGATACCCTCAACAGTGCCCCCAAAGACCCCTTGTTCACTAGCCACTACTGTTAACAGAAGGAATCTTTGGGGAACCTTTTCTGCTAAAGCTGTGACTCTCCAAAAACACTTAAAGCAGATGCCATCATCCTTTGGGTCCACTAGACTCAAGAAACAAATGCCTTGTTGACTACACCCTGACCATTGCTACTTAATGGTCTACTTTTGCTTTGACTGGACCACTTCCTCCTTGGTGCAATTGCTTTGACTGTGCAGTCTTTGGGATCATACTTCTAAAGCCGTTTCAGCCCTGTTACAATTCTTCAAAGAAATGCTTCTGGATCTTGATTTCGCTCACACTTGTTCAAAACCCTTACTGAAACCTCTGTAACTGATTTGGACACAAATTTGGCACTCATCAAGCAGCAAGTTTGCTTCATTTTATCAGAATTGTGTAAACTGAACCAGTTAAGACATCTACAATGTTGGCTATTGTTTCTTCTGTTAATCATTTCTCTTCAACTCAGCCACGATCAAGATTTTTCCCTCACAGATCGCTATGGCTGGTCTATCACTGCAGGCTGCATCTTCATCACCATCTCATCCCTTCTTAGAACAATTCACTACTGATTTTTAAGTAAGTCCCCAAACAGTGCACTTGATGTACATACTTTACCATGCTTCAGGGTTGCAATCTCTGAGTCACTAAATCACGCTAGGTTTAGCCAGTCCCACAGGGTCTCAGATTCCAAGACTTATGAGGTTATTAATCTTCCCTAGAGGTAGCATTTTTGACTTGAGGTTTCTTTAGTTTCTGGAACCCTAGGTCCTGAGCAAAATGTTAACAATCTCAGAATAGCTCTGACAGGAGCCCATTTTGTCATCAAAATCCCCAAAAGTACTTAACAGTCATTGCGTTGTTGACCAAAGGTGGGCCATGATTCCTGTGGACCAACTAGAGACCTGCAAGTGAGCTGAACATTCACCTATAAACTCCAACTTACTAGCTATGACACGTAACCTCAACTTCTTGAGGAGTGTAGGAATTGATAGCTGCCTGTGTTCCTTGTTGTTTCTTTGCAGGGTAAGTTCCTTTCACATCCTTGGTGTAACTGAACATGGGTGCACTCAGCAACCACACCTAGGTTTAGGGGCTCTAGTTTCTCTGGGAGCACCATAATAACATTTCATAATGCATCAATGATTTCACCATTCTTCCACACAGCTGTCACCATAAATGTGATGCCTCTTTGTGCTTCAATTTTATAATTAGATGCTGCCCTGATAGTCTTCAAAGTAGGTATTTTCCAGACATGTTATAACAAGTTTTTTATTTTGGTACAAAAAATGACATTGTTTCCATAACATGCATTTTCCATAAACTTTTTGAAGACCTCTCATACACTTGTTACCAGAGTCAGAATAAACTATGTGTGATCAATGGTGATATTAAGTCTTCTTTCTATAGGGCTAATTTATCAGGAAAACAGGTACATAATGGGCTGCATAAAAGGGAGTTTTTTATCTTCAATTTCTTGGCAATTTCTATTACCCAGAACATTCTGGTATTTTAATTTAAATGTTTTCTTTCTTTATTCCACTTTTGGAAAGCATTTCTGGATTTGTAAATGTCTTTTCCCAATAGTATGTAGTTCAATAATTTCTTGGATAATCAAATTGTTAGTGTTTACTAGTTTGTAGGTACACTGAAGCCTCAATAATTCCTGAGATTACATTACAAGTTTTCAGTTTATCGACACTGTAATATCATGGGGCAGACATATGGCCCAGTTGTTAAGATACCACTTGGGACACCCACATTCCATGAAGAGTCTTTGGGTTTGAATCCTGGCTCCACTATCAATCCACCTTCCTGTTAATTTACACCCAAGGAGCAAGCACATGATGGTACAAGGGCTTGAGTGCCTACCACCCACATGGGAGAGGTCCATCCTGGGTTCCAGGGTCCTGGCTTGGGTACGTCCCAGCCCTGGCTGTTTCAGGCATTTGGGGAGTGAACCATGAACAGTGCTTTTTATATTATTTATATTTTACATTATAAATTAAAAAACTACCTAACTGATCAACATTTGTTATATATATTTGCTATATTTCCACTCTGAATTCAAGTTCTCCATACAGCTTTTGTCCCCAGGTCACAGAAAACACAATTTCTACATGTTGGGGCCAGCACTGTGGCATAACAAGTAAAGGCAGCACCTGCAGTACTGCATCCCATATGGGCACCAGTTCGAGTTCCTGCAGCTCCACTTCTGATTCAGCTCTCTGCTATGGCCTAGGAAGGCAGAAGATGGCCCAGGTCCTGGGGCCCATGTACCTGCGTGGAAGACCCAGAAGAAGCTCCTGGCTCCTGGCTTTGGATCATCCCAGCTCTGGCTGTTGTGGCCATTTAGGGAGTGAACCAACAGATGGAAGCTCTCTCTGTGCCTCTTCCTCTCTGTAACTCTGCCTTTCAAAATAAATAAATCTTTTCCAAAAACTTCTACATGTCAAATTAAAAAAAGATAACTTTCATCAACTTATTTTTCTGGTGGAAAAACCTCTTGACTTCAAAAGGATTCAGCTGATAAGTGAGGAGACTCAGGCATGCCATTTCCTGATGCACATATCACCTCACATAGGACTGTTAAAAATGTTTGTGACATATTGTTCAAGTTGACTAAAACATTTCATTAGTCCAGTAAAAAATTAATGTGTGGAAATCCTTAAACAGTTAATATGATTAAGTAATTTCACTGCAGAAGCATTTTTCCAAAAGCTATGGAAATATCATTTTCACTTTATGGTGCTGAGCAATATATTATTCCATGGGTCATTTTCAACTATAGTGAAATTACTTTGTATTTGTATGATTTTTACTTAAAGGGTCTCTTCCCCTTTACACATTATAATCCAGAATAGATGTTTAATTTTCTCTTCTGTGCATTACTCCAGTAAAAAATTTAGGAGATACACAAATGAAGGTATTGTCTGAAGACATTCTGTGGCATGAAAATGCAAATTTGGGGGAACTGTAAAAAAAAAGTACATTTAAAAAACACTGTGATTTTGATTTTTTTCACTATAAAGAAAAGGCAATGTTTAGGATATATATTTACTTCATTAGACATTACATAACATATAGATGTATTCAAACATCATGTAGTACCCCATAAATATGCACAAATTTTGACGCCAGTTAAAAATATTAAAAGTGTTAAAAATAGCAGGCAAAATCAGGAATATTTAAAAAAATGAGTAGCCTTTTAAGTCTAGTTCAATGAAAGAAGTGAAATGACAAATGGTGAATAAATTCTCTGAATGTAGGGAGTTGGCTAATGAGGTTTTTAAAACAATAAACATGTGGGCATAACTAGCATCTACAATGATAAATGAAAGTATCATTGAGAAAGTCTCCAGATCTCCATTTGTGACAAGGAGGTATTTCCACTGCAGAATCCCTGACACCATTCTGCCATTTCCTATGAGTTACTTTACTCACTCAGACCCAGAAAACCTTGCAGAAAAAACTGACACTCAATATTTGCCCTTTGACTTGTTCTCATTCAAAAATATATTAATTTAGTAAGTTATCCCTTAAGTTTTCTATGTAGTTCTTTTTATATCAATTATACTTGGAATAAAAATTAACTGTTTCTTTGTGTTTAATAATTGAATTTCCAGCTAAGTATTGCTGATATTGCCATTTCACATCAGAGGTAAGCTAGGACAGAAAGAGGCTGCAAGACTCATCCAGTTACATACTGATGAATCAGAATTGGAATCCCTGCTGTGTAAGCTGCAAAACCTAGTCTCTTAATTAACCATGGAGAAGCAGTAAAAAGGGTAGTTAGCTATTGTCCTAAGTATCCTACTGAGGTAGAACAAAACTATGTGAGTAGTAGTATGACTCACGGTAATAAAAGATTAAATTGTATTCAGACATCACATCAACAATACATTTTGAATCAAACAGCAACAAAATGTAACCACCACTTCAATGTTAATGTTTAAAAAAATCTATTTAAAGGGGGAAGAAGAGAAATAGGAATCTCATCCACTGGTTCATTCACCTTCCACAGCCAGGGCTGGGCCAGGCCAGGCCAGGCCAAAGCCAAGAACTCAGTCCAGGTCTCCCACATTAGTGGCAAGAATCCAATCACTCCTGCCTCTCTGAATCTATGTGGCAGGATTCTGGAACCAGAGCTGGGTATCAAGTCCAGGGACTCCTGATGTGTGGCATAGGTGTCTTAACCAGTAGGCCAAAGACCTGCCCACCTCTGTATGACTTAAGTGGTCCTTAATAACACAGTCCTCTTATCGCACATAAATCCCAGGATCCTGTGGTCTTGGGCTATTCTATTTTATGGTCAGATGCTAGAAAATTTTTTTTCTATACTCCACAGTCCCCATGAAGGGCACCTTGAAAACAGCAAGCATGACTTACATACTAGCTTTTAGAATGATTCTCTGCCTCTTCCCAAATGCTGACAATATTCAACTTCAAAAAGATTCATTTTCCTCAATACCTGGATGGAAATGATGCTCACCTAAAGAAGTAAGATCTTTCATCCTCTCAATTCCTTCACAGAGACCACAATGAAGTCTGAAGGCAGGCATATTACTAACAGATTTCAAGGTTGTTGTGAATATCACATATAATAAAGCACTGTTCTTAGGAAACATAAAGTGAAGTATTTTATAACCTGAAGATAACCAGGCCTCTCATAATATAATATTCTGCAAAAGGTAACTCAAAGATTAATCTTGGAAAACTAGAGACCAAGGTATTTCTCACATCAATCCTCATCTACAGAGTCACTGGGTAATAACCTCAGCATGTACAACACATTTGTATGATTTCATCCAAGATGTATAATTTGATGTCTAGGGAGTTGTGAGTCTAGGATAAAGCCTCTGCCATACAATTACATTTATAAAATTGGTTAGTATGAACTTTCTTGATATTTACTAATGTTTAAACTCTTGATTAGTAGTTTGCCATAGTCATTACATTTATAAAGGTTTTCTTAATGAATTCTCTAATGTGAAAGAAGTGGCTCCTGACTAAAAGCCTTGCCACACTCATTTGTAAGCTTTTAAAAGCCCAGTATGAATTCTCTGATGACTTGCAAGGTTTGAACGCCGGCCAAAGACCTTACCACATTCATTACATGTGTAAGGTTTTTCTCCAGTATGAACTAATTGATGGGTAGTTAGGCTTGAACTCACACTAAAAGCTTTCCCACATTTATTACACTTGTAAGGCTTCTCTCCAGTATGAATTCTTCGGTGACTTGCAAGGTGTGAATTTTGAGTAAAGACCTTGCCACACTCGTTGCATTTGTAAGGTTTTTCTCCACTATGGATTACCTGATGGGTGGTTAGGCTTGCATAAACACTGAAAGCCTTGCCACACACATTGCACTTGTACGGTTTCTCACCAGTATGAATTCTCTGATGATTTACTAGGTGTGAATTCTGAGTGAAGACCTTGCCACAATCATTACATTTATAAGGCTTTTCTCCACGATGGATTATCTGATGAGTATTTAGATTTGAATGAGAACTAAAAGCTTTGCCACATTCATTACACTTGTAAGGTTTCTCTCCAGTGTGAATTCTCCGATGAATTGCAAGACTTGAAGTTTGACTGAACACCTTGCCACATTCACTACATTTATAAGGCTTCTCACCAGTATGAATTACCTGATGAGCAATTAGGTTTGAACGCACACTGAAAGATTTCCCACACTCATTACACTTATAAGGTTTCTCTCCAGTATGAACTCTCAAATGCCTTGCAAGATTTGAAGTCTGACTGAAGAATTTGCCACATTCATCACATTTGTACGGTTTCTCTCCAGTATGAATTCCTCGATGACTTGCAAGGTGTGAATTCTGAGTGAAGACCTTGCCACATTCATTACATTTATAAGGTTTTTCTCCAGTATGGATTGCCTGATGGGTGGTGAGGCTTGAATACACACTAAAAGCTTTGCCACACTCATTACATTTGTAAGGTTTCTCTCCAGTATGAATTCTCCTATGATTTGCAAGGTGTGAATTCTGAGTGAAGACCTTGCCACATTCATAACACTTGTAAGGTTTTTCTCCACGATGGATTATCTGATGGGTATTTAAGTTTGAGTGTGAACTGAAGACTTTGCCACACTCATTACACTTGTAAGGTTTTTCTCCAGTGTGAGTTCTCCGATGAATTGCAAGGCTTGAAGTTTGACTGAAGACCTTACCACATTCATTACATTTGTAGGGTTTCTCTCCAGTGTGGATAACCTGATGGTTAGTTAGATTTGAACGAATACTAAAAGCTTTGCCACACTCATTACACTTATATGGTTTTTCTCCAGTATGAATTCTCCGATGACTTATAAGATGTGAATTCTGAGTGAAGACTTTGCCACAGTCATTACACTTATAGGGTTTCACTCCAGTATGATGTCTCTCATGAACTAAAAGGTAAGAACGTCTGAAAAAAGCCTTACCACACTCAATACATTTGTAAGGTTTCTCTCCAGTATGAATTCTCCGATGATGTGCTAGAGAGGAGGTATAGCTGAAGATCTTGCCACACTCCTCACATCTGTAAGGTTTCTCTCTAATATGTGTTTTCTGTTCTTGTGTGAGCAACGAGTAGATAAAATCATTCCCATATTCATCAGTCATGTGAGTTTTAACACTAGAAGGAATTCTTTGAGGTGGTGAAACTAAGGGGATATTGTTGATAGACTGCTCAATGTAATTACATTCATCAATTTCACTTTCAGAGGGAAATATTTGCAGTTCCGGCAAATGTGACTGAAAGCTGGAGCCAAGGCAAGTTTTCATAACACTGCTTCTTGCATCTTTTCTATCATGTTGATCTCTTCTAGAGATGAGATTTTCTTTATGAATTATAAACAGGTCATTCAAATTTCCTTCATCATTATTCCACTGAAACTCAAAGTCATTTTGATTTTTCTGGACTTCTCTGGGGGAAAAGTCTTTGACATTGTTCCTTTCATTCCTCTCCAAACTCAATGTTTGGAATATTTCTCCTGTATTGCTGTCCCCCTTGGGACATATCTCTTTGACTACACATGTAGGAGAAATACCTGGAAGATATCAAGTAACACAGGTTTTGATTAACTATTGATGGAAACACAAAGTTTGTACTGAAAAATACATTTTATCAAAATAATACTTAAAAACTGCATATTTAAAGCATATTACATAAAACAAATGCTACAGTATGATATTTTGTGATGTAAATAATTCAGCAAATATATGTAATGAACTAAAGCATGATTTTAGAGTGCAAAACAGGCTGCTGCTGTGGTACAATGTGTTAAGCCGTTATCTGCAATGCCAGCATCCCATATGGGCAGGGGTTTGATTCCTGGCTGCTCTGCTTCCAATTCAGCTCTCTGCTAATGCATCTGGGAAAGCAACTCAAGATGGTTCACATTCTTGGGTCCCTGTACCCACATGAGAGTCCTCGAGGAAGCTTTGGGCTCCTGGCTTTGGTCTGGCCCAGCCCTAGCTGTTGCGGTCATTTGGGGAGTAAACCAGCAGATAAAAGATCTTTTTCTCTCTTTTCTCCTAACTCTCTCAAATAAATAAATAAATAAATCTTAAAAAAATACTACAAAACAGTATTAGAAGAAGACAGTATTTTTGGATTGTCCTTATGAAACCACACCCTCAAAAGAGAAGGCATTCTGCAAGATATACAAGTTTACTTATTTGACTGGCAGAGTGACAAAGTAAGGAGACTGATCTTCCATCCACTGGTTCATTCCCCAAATGAGTGCAAGACAGGTCTGGGCCAGGTGGAAGCAGGAGACAGATATTCCATCCTGGTGTCCCACATGGGTGGCAGGGGCCCAGCTTTCACTGCCTTCTTATGCAATTAGCAGGAAGCTGAACCTGAAGTCGAGTAGCTGGGACTTGAGCCAGCAGCACTCTGATATGGGATGCCAGCACTGCAAGAGGCAGACTAACGCACTATACCACAAGGCCGGCCCCTCTCCTTAATTCATTTTAGTTGTATGATGTGGGATATAGGACCAGTCTTTCCTTCCAGCATCATTTATTGTATATGTGCCTTTTGCACTGTATGTTCTTGGTACCTGTATTACCCCATTTTCTGTTTGAAATAACACTGAAGGCTTGATAATATATAAAGAAGCTTATTTAGCTTACACTTGTGAAGGTTCAAAAGCAGGGTTCTAATTTCTGGTAGCCCCTGCTGAGGGGTGTGTGGATTACAATAGCAGGAGCAAGTGTGGAAGAGACCTCATGATGAGAAAGGAATCCAGAGCAATTCCAGGGTCAGGTTCATTCTTTTGCAATCCACTCTCTTGGAAACTAATATCTATCTATCTTCCTTCCTTCCTTCCTTCCTTCCTTCCTCCCTCCCTCCCTCCCTCCCTCCCTCTCTCTCTCTCTTTCTTTCTTTCTTTCTTTCTTTCTTTCTTTCTTTCTTTCTTTCTTTCACAGGTAGAGTTAGACAGTGAGAGAGACAGAGAGAAAGGTCTTCCTTCCATTGGTTCACCACCAAATGGCCGCTACGGCCGGCGCGCTGCACCCATCCGAAGCCAGGAGCCAGGTGCTTCTTCCTGGTCTCCCATGCGGGTGCAGGCGCCCAAGAACCTGGGCCATCCTCCACTGCCTTCCAGGGCCACAGCAGAGAGCTGGACTGGAAGAGGAGCAACCAGGACTAGAACCTGGCGTCCACATGGGATGCTGACACCACAGGTGGAGGATTAACCAAGTGAGCCATGGCGCCGGCCCTGGAAACTAATTTCAATACCAGAACTAATCCTTTCTGAGAGTAGTGTATTCAATCACCTAACCTCCCAATGAGACCTGCCTTTTAAAGTTTCCACCAGCCTGAACATTTGGCCTAGTGGTTGCAGGTATCTGGGCAGTGAACAGATGGATAGACACTACCTCTCTAATTGTTTCTTTCAAAAAAAAAAAAAAAAAAGGCAATGTAAAGGTTCTACCACTTTCCATCCCAACACTGGGGAACAAGCTTTCAAGATATGACACTCTGATGGAGAGATGAAACCATATACAGACCATATCAGCACCTTTTTCAAACATTAATTGGTCACACACTGCCAGTAACACTGGCAAGTGAAAGGGTAAACTTTCACATCTCTAAAGAACTAAGTAGAAGGGACTGAAAATTTCCTGTGAGAACTCACAGCACATAAACTGGTTTTGTCCTAAAACTTGCTCGCTTGTAGGGAATTTTCCAAAACAGTACTCAATGATGTTCTTTCCTCTCTGCCCATGTGAACTCTTACCTGACATCACACTTTTGATACATTTCCAAAGCCCAGGTGGCCCCATATTTCTGAGGCTACAAGACTTCAATCACATTGAAACACTGCAAGGCATACCAAAAGGCACACAGGGAAAATGCAAAGATACAAAAGGGCAATTTCTAACTTTTACACGGAACCATCCTCACCCAGGGAAACCAGGTTCTTGTAGTTCTCCAGCATCACATCCCTGTACAAAGCCCTCTGGTCAGGGTCCAGGCATTTCCACTCCTCCTGAGAGAAATCTATGGCCACGTCCCTGAATGTCAACCGTCCCTAAAACGGAAAAACAAATTTTACCATAGAGTTTTGAGAAGTTATAATCTTCACAGAAAATAAGAAGTGAGAACTATAAGGATACACCTGACTGGTCAACAAGCCAAATCCATACTGAATACTACGAAAAATTTATCTTTGTCTATGTTTAGAGACATATAACTCATTTGAAATCTCTGGTATTTTTTCATGTGCTAATGAGATGACAGGTGGGTTGAATACCCTATACAACTTAAGGTTGTGGGCAAGTCACAAGAAAGACCAAGACAGGGTTGGAGCTTTCAGTCTTACATCTCTTAACCATCCAGGAAGTTGATCACCAACAATAAATCAATCATACCTAAGAAATGAAACCATCATGAAACCCCAAGTGGACAGGACTCAAACTGTCCTACAGAGAGCTGAATGTGTGGAGATTCCTAAGGATTGTGCCCCCAAGAAGAGAATGATAGCCCCAACCCATCCTCTCATACCCTGTTATTCTCTTCCCTCTGGTTGTTTATTGTTTTTTATTATTATTTATTTGACAGGTAGAGTTATAGACAGTGAGAGAGAGAGAGAGACAGAAAAGTCTTCCCTCTGCTGGTTCACCCCCTAAATGGCTGCCATGGTCGGTGCTGCGATGATCCAAAGCCAGGAGCCAGGTGCTCCCTCCTGGTCTCCCATGTGGGTACAGAGGCCCAAGCACTTGGGCAATCCTCCACTGCCCTCCCAGGCCACAGCAGAGAGCTGGACTGGAAGAGGAGCAACCGGGACTAGAACCCGGCGTCCATATGGGATGTTGGCGCCGCAGGCTGAGGATTAACCAAGTGAACCATGGCGCTGGCCCCTGGTTGTTCATTTGTGTCCTCTGTAATACTCTTTATAGAAAATAGATAAGGGTAAGTAAAGTGTCCTCCCTACTTTTGCGAACTAGCAAACTATTCAAACCCAAGGAGGGGCTACAACCTGTGCTTGCTACTAGCATGTGACGTGGGGGTACTCTTGTGAGAATCGTGCACTCATGCTATCATGACACCAGGTGGCTGGTATCAAAATTGAAGCTAATGTCAGAATTCAATGTAACTGGTGTCAGAGGACACCCAGTTGATGTCTACTGCACAATAGCTTGCCTGGTGTGGGGGAAAATCACATGTACCTTGAGCTACAGAGCATTCTGTTTTGAGAGTACAGCAGGAAAAATGACTTATGCTCCCACACGTTTGAGTATGTTGTGTCTCCCTATTTTTGATATCCCATACATTGGTGTAGATTTCTCACTTTGTGGATATACAAGAAATACACAAATTAAAAACCAATAGACCTCTCTCTACAGAAGTGTTAGATGGTATGTTTGACACACCATGGGATAGGATCCAGATAAGCTGCAGGACGAGTGTCTTTAAGACAGAATCTGCAGTGGCTTAAAAAATGGTCAAAATCTAAAATATGCAATGATGGCAATGGTAATGACTAAAGCTTCTGAACAGTTCCCATGAGCTAGGCATTATTCTAAATTCTTTACATGGACTAACTTATATAATCAAATAGTAACTCATATGAGAAAGATGCATCCCCACATTACTGAGGAGAAACTGTCAGACTCTAAAGAAAACCTCTGCTCAGGTCAAAGAGCTAAAAATGGGAGTAAGTTATTTGCCCCAAGTGTCTGAGAATTAGAATCCAATCTAATAAATAAAACAGTTAAGTAACCAATAAGTAAATCGACAGTAAGTTCCTAAAGTAAGGAAAGTTGAAACAAGTTCAAAAACAGTATCAATTCCAAAAAGGTCATCACACACACACAGGCACATAACATATTGCTATTCACACTGTCAGCTCATCAATATGATGGTATTGAACAAACTTAAAGCCACGTAAAATATTTAAGACATAATTTCAATCGATAAAAACATAGTGCTTATTTAAAATATTGATGTCTTTGGCAAAATCCATGTGGTTGCACATCCATGTACTCAGGCAGTGAGATCACCATTTAAATCAACTGCAATAAAAGGAGCTGCCTCTCAATGACGTATTTTCAATGTTTTTTTCATCAGCACTTCTTCTCAAGTATATTTCAGCATGTTAGGCACAATGAATATGTGTAAACTGTGCCATATTTTGTTTATAAATATTGTTGTATATATAGTTATCAAAAATAGTGTATTAAGAAAAGAGGGGGCCCAGAACAGAGAAGAGACAGAATATGAACTTGCGGCCAGACAGAATTTATTCAGAGGAAATAAATCTGCAGAGGTTGATCAACTGCCTTCATGCTCACAGACTGAACACATGGTAGAGGCCCCGACCCCAGCAGGCTGGGCCCTTTTATAGTTTAGGTGGGCTAGGGGTAGCGGTAGGGGGCAGTAGGTGGAGAGGAGATGAGCTTATCCATACTGGTTCTTAATTTGGCCAGCTGGCTTCCAAACCCGGGGAGGAATGCAGGGGTGGGGTGGGGAACAATACAGGATGTGAGACTGAACTGGTCTCTTCAAAGAAGGCACGGGTAACAAGAAACCTAAGATGGCTGAGGCTTATGTCCTTGTTCCAGCAACCGGGGCCTACATTGTACCACAGTGGGTTAAACCACTACCTGTGATGCAGGCATCCCCAGTGGAGTGCTTGTTTGGGTCTTGGCTGCCCTGCTTCCCATCCAGCTCCTTGCTAATGCACCTGGGAGAGTAATAGAATATGGCCTATTTGGGCCCCAGCAACCCACATGGCTGACACAGAAGGTATTCCTGATTTCAGCTGGCTCAGCCCCAGCCATTGTGACTATCTGGGGAGTGAACCAACAGATGGAAGATCTGTCTCTTCTTCTCTTTCTGTAACTATTTCAAATAATTTTTTTTTTCCCTCCTGGTATCCCATGCAGGTGCAGGGCCCAAGCACTTGGGCCATCCTCCACTGCCTTCCTGGGCCACAGCAGAGAGCTGGACTGGAAGAGGGGCAACTGGGACAGAATCCAGTGCCCCAACCGAGACTAGAACCTGGGGTGCCTGCGCCGCAGGCAGAGGATTAGCCAAGTGAGCCACAGCACCGGCCTCAAATAAATCTTTTAAAAAGAATTATTTATTTACTTGAAAGACAGAGTTAGAGAGAGACAAGGAGAGACAACAGTTCATTCCCCAAATGGCTGCCCGAAACAGCTAGATCTGGGTCAGGTTGAAGCCAGGAGCCCAAAGCTGCTTCCAGGCCTCCTACAAGGGTGCAGAGGCCCAGGGCCTTGGGCCATCTTCCACTGCTTTCCTGGGTGCATTAGCAGGGAGCTGGATTGGAAGTGGAGTAGCCAAGACTTGAACCAGTGCCTATATGGGATGCTGGCAACTGTAGACAGCCATTAACCCACTACTACACAGTGTAAATAAATCTTCAAAAATTTTTTTTTTCTAATTTAAAAATCTATGTTCAAAACTAAAGATACCATTTAGGAAATAAACACTGAAGTTTATTAGCTCATCTGACTAATAAAATCATGGCAAATGTTAGGAAACTTTTTGGAGTTTTTACAACAATTTCATGTATTAATATGAAAAATCTGGAGCCAGTGTTGCAGTATAGCAGGTTAAGCCGCCATCTGTGATGCTGGCATTCTACATGGGTGCTGGTTTGAGTTCCAGACGCTTCACTTCTGATCCAGTTTGCTGCTACTGCAATGGGAAAGCAGCAGAAGATGGCTCAAGTGCTTGGGCCCCTGCCTCCCACGTGGGAGACCTGGATTGAGTTCCAGGCTCCTGGCTTTGGCGTGGCTCAGCCTTGGCCATTGTGGCCATTTGAGGAGTGAACCAGTGGATGGAAGATCTCTGTCTCTTTCAAGAAGATCTCTGTCTCTTTCAAATAAACAAATAAATCTTAAAAAAAAAATACAAATATATTGCAGCAGTGCATACCTGAAGAAATCACTGGATTATTAAAAGTCAGGACAGAAAAGAAATTAAAAAAAAAAAAGAAAGAAAGAAAAAGCGTTGATATTCCACAAGACCATTTCACCAAACATTAGGATCAGCATTTCCTACAAATTAAGGAGGAAAAAAGGGGCATGCACCAGAGTTCCAGTCAATCACCACTGTACAGGGACCAGGAAGGAGAGAATGATAGTGCAAAACAAAAGTAGGTGGAGAGTATGCACCTGGCACAACGGTTAAGTCACGTCTTGAGACACATGCATACTATATTGGAGTGCTTGGTTTGAGTTCTGGCTACTCTGCTCTGGTCCAGCTTCCTGTTTATTTATACCCTGGGAAGTAGCAGGTGATGGCTCAAATAGTTGGATCCCTGCCACCTATACGGCAGACCAAGACTGAATTCACGGCTCATGGCTTTGGCCTGGCCCAACCCTGGCTGTTGTGGGTATATAGGAAGCAAACAAGTGGATAGATCTCTCTCCATCTGTCTCTTTGCTTTCCAAATAAAATAAAATTTTTAAAAATCTTTTTTAAAAAATTTGTGTATTTTATTTGAAAGTCAGAAAAAGGGAGAGGCAGAGAGAGAGATATTCAATCCATTGGTTTACTCCCTAGATGGTGGGCTGCACAAGGCTGAAGACAAGAACCAAGAGCTTTATCTGGGTCTCCAACGTTGGTGGCAGGGGCTCAAACACTTGGGCCATCTTCTGCTGCTTTTCCAGGCTATTTGCAGGGAGCTGGATTGGAAGTAGAGCAGCCAGGATACAAATTGACACCCATATGGAATGCTGATGTTGCAGGTGCTGGCTTTACCCACTATGCCACAATGCAGATTTTGAAAAAAAAAATTTTTTTTTAAAGAGATTGAAGGATTTATGCAAGTCTAGCTGGAAAATATGTGACACCTACGCCCCAGAGCCCCTACCCTAGCATGACATGGTGTAACTGGGATGAAACACTCAACTCTTGACTTCTTCTGGGGGGGTTAGGGGAATATGGGAATATCCATCTAACTTTCTAACTTTCTAGGGGGCTCCAAAGGGACTGCCTTCTGTACTGAGTGAATGTAAGCATGGAAGATAGCAGGGAGCTGGGTCAGGAGCCGCTGAGAAC